TATTTTATTTAAAAATATGTGGATGACAATAATGTACTGAATAAAGGTAAAACTTGTAAAGTTGGAATGGAATCACATTAATCTTTGCTCACTTAGCTCTTGAACAATGACCATCAATGTTCAGAATGAACCCAGAGGCACTGCCAGATTTTCTTTAAAGAAGACTCCATTTTGTTTATCTATCTTTGGACATAGAGATTATGGCAAAACAGCTAAATGCTTACCAGCATCTGTTGCCTCTTCTTCCTAGGCTCACAGATTACTTTACCAAGCCTCCTTGCACTTAAGAGATGCCATGTGACTGAGCGCTAGTCAATGGAATGCAATGTGTTCCATTGTTAGTCTTGGTCCATAAAACCTGCCACAAACCCCTTTTTTGTGTGTTCTTTCTCCCTTCTGATTGGCTGAAATGCAGAAAATTGCCAAGGTGACTTTGGAAGCCACATGTTAATGGCACAGCCTCTGTTCGAATGGGTCTCTGGATCTCCTGCCAACCCAATCACCCTTCCATTACTGTTACATGAGCAAGAATGCTTGATATTTCTATTAAATTAAAACCACTATAGAGTTTTAGATTATTTGTGGAAGCAGCTACCATTCCCCTCACAATTAAGCCCATAATATATTGGAAATATTTCCATCAAGAGAGTTTTGGCTTAACTCTGGATTATAAGTTTTCATTAAGTATAACTAACTTTTTCAAATATTCTGATTAACTGTGGTTGTGTTAGAGGGAGCTATGTCCACACAGGGCAGTGTGGAATGTAATAATTGTATTGTGAAGTTAACTACCAACTGATAGGCTTTCGAAAGCAGCCCTCCAACTGAAAAATTCTTCATATCCTGGGCTAGCCCCCAGAAGAGAGAGCAGGGAATCATGTTCCCCTTCACAACAATCATTTTCTACCCAAGAATCTTCATCTTTGGGTACCTTTTAGATAATGGCAGGTGAGAGGTATCAGACACATTTTCTATGAAAGACCATTTAAGGTAAGACAAGCAATCTCTTCCTTCCTGGTCTAAAGAAAGATCTACTGAGGGAAGCAGCTGAGATTCTATACTTTTTTTTTTTTCGTTTCGTTTCGTTTTGTTTTGTGTTCACTTTTTGTTTATTAATTAGTCCAAAAAGACAATTAAAATCATCTCCATTCCACTTATTTATTGCCAAATAACTACCTCCATTTAATGACTTTAATGTCATTAAACAGCCATTTTTATCATGCTCACAAACTCTCTGGAATTCAGGCAGGGGGCACTGGGGATGGCTGTTTCTGTCCCCAAACATCTGGGACCTCAGGTACAAACAACTGAATGTCTGGGAGTCAGAATTATCTCCAAGTGGAGGCTTCTTCATTCACATGCATAGTTCTTGGGCTGAGATGACTCCGTGGTTAGGCTTGGCTGGGCCTGTTGACTGGAGAGCCTGTACATGGCTTCTTCATGTGGCTTTGTCTTTCTCGCAACGTGGGAGTCTCAGGGTAGCTAGACTTCATAACTAGCAGGTCGGGGCTCCAAGAGTGTTCCAGAAACCCAGGCAGATGTTGGGAACCCTTTTATGAACCAGCATTAGAAGTCACATAGGGTCATTTCCACTATACACTTCGGCTAAAGCGGTTCTAAGCCCACCCAAATTCAAGGAGAAGGGGCACAGATACCACTTCTTGATATGAAGAAAGTCAAAGAATTTGCAACTATGTTTTAAGCTTGTCACTATCTCTAATCCTACCATCCAAATATAACTGCTACTAATATTTTGGTTTATTTGTTGCCAGTTTTTAAAAATCCCCAAACGTATAAAATAAAATTGAGAGGAGAATTAATACTGTTAAAATGTCCTTACTACTCAAAGTAATCTAAACATTCGATGCAATCATTATCAAAACTCCACTGGCGTTTTACTCACAAAAATAGAACAAACAATACTAAAATTTGCATGGAATCACAAAAGACCCCAAATAGCCAAAGCAATCTTCAGAAGGAACAAAGCTGGAGGAATCACACTCCTTGATTTCAAGCTATATACAAAGCTATGGTAATAAAAAGAAATATGGTATTGGTATAAAAACAGCCACGTAGGTCGGTGGAAGAGAATAGAAAGCCCAGAAATAAACCTACTCATATATAGTTAATTACTTTACGACAAAACAGTTAAGAAGATACAATATACAATAGGGAAAGACAGTGTCTTCAATGAATGATTTTGGAAAACGTGGACCGCCACATGCAAAAGAATAAAACTGGACCACTATTTTACACCGTACACAAAAATTAACTCAAAATGGATTAAAGATTTTAACGTAAGACCCAAAACCATAAAACCCCTAGAAAAAAAACATAGGTAGGTGATAAACTCTTTGACATCACTCTTAAGGATGATTTTTTTGGATCTGAATCCAAAAGCAAAAATAAACAGGTGGCACTACATCAAATTAAAAAGTTTCTGCACAGCCAAGGAAATCATCAACAAAATAAAAAGGCAAACTGTAACCTCCTGAAAGAGAGAAAATGTTTGCAAATAAAATATATCTGATAAGAGGTTAATATCCAAAATATATAAAGAAATCATACAATGCAATAGCAAAAAACAATCTGATTTTAAAAATGGACAAAAGATCCGAATAGACATTTTTTTCCAAAGAATATATCTGTATGGCCAACAGACACATGAAAAGATGCTCAACGTAACTAACCATCAGGGAAATACAAATCAAAACCACAGTGAAATATCACCTCACACCTGTTAGAATGGCTATTATCAAAAAAAAAAAAAAAAAAAAAAAAAAAAAAAAAAA